AGAACGTTACTAGCAAATTTCGAGACACTCGAAAACGTACTTGGCTCTTTTCTTAAATCTTTTTTATTTGGATATCCAAATAAAAAAGATTTAAGAAAAGAGCCAAGTACGTTTTCGAGTGTCTCGAAATTTGCTAGTAACGTTCTCCATCGTGAATAAATTTAAGTGACGTATTATTAGTTAGAATAAAATTTCCTGCAAGAGTATACGATACACTGTTTCAGGATAATAAAAGCAATTTTAATAAAAAAAATAACTGAAATCGAGCATATGAACGGATGAAGTAGAGTTGGCCACTATTTGAAGACTGACAGATCTATGTTGGAGATCTCTCGTGGAGATTATTAATCGCGGATTTACTAATCGGGAAAGATATTTTAAATGTGGTCTTCTTTACTCTGAGTTACTAGACAATTCGACACGGTGCCAGGCAAAGATGGTTACGTTGCATGCTCGTATTTTGTTTATTACAGAAGAAAATATGAAGGAAATATTTTCTTTACAGAGAGAGAGAGAGAGAGAGAAGAAAATATACAGTTTACAGAATCGTACACGGACGCGAGTAGAATAGAAGGTTGTCTCTATCATGTTTGTGTAGTCAATCATAACAATTCTTCGAACTCTAACTTATTGCACCAGTTCAGGCAGTTCAATTCAAAAAAAGAACAGATCTATAGATTCAGTTTGTTTTGCAAAGTTGGTGTTGCAAAGGCTATCACTTTACACTCTCCTCGATGTCTTTTGCTCTGTGATTGGTCAACAAGACGAAGCCGCAGAAGCAACGCAGACGCTAAAAGTTCGAATTGAATTAACTCGTCACGTTAGGCACGAGTATGACTACGCGCCTTGCGAGCTGATATCTTGTGTCTGCGTTTATGAGCTGCGTTTAGCGAGTTATATAGACGGAGCTTTATATCGAATCGATACTGGCTTACGTAGGCGTGTAATTAGAGTTGCGTGCAATCAAGAGACGTATCTCGTGCCAAATGAACGCGCAAAGCGCAGCCGCGCGTCTTAACGCAACGCGTTTTAGTTCAGCGAAGGTAAAATTATCATTGCCGTCATAACAGTTGATCGAACTGACTTCTAAGTGAGCTTAATCGATTGCTCAGAGTTCAATTACATCGCAAAACTGTCTTTACTTTTGTTCTACTTGCCTTGTGGTCGGAGATATTCTAGCGCAAAGTAAGAAATTAACCAAGTTCTATTATTCAGAAGTTCGAAGACGTCGTCATCGATCAATTTTAGCAATGTTTCTTTGCGTCTAACATCACTAAAGCCTGATCTACAATATGCTCTTTGCTTCCTGCTTCTTTCTCTTTATCTCTTTCTGACTCAAACCTTAAGCTTTAAGCCACAAAAAGACAGAAGACAAGAAACAGAATGCAAAGAACATATTGTAGATCAGCTTTAAATGATGCCACGTATTGAGTTCCATGCCATATGTGTACTTGCCCGCAAACTTTTTATACTGCACTACTTTCGTACATTCTCCGCATCATTTTTGTACTAATTCCGCATACTTTCCGTGAACTGTCCGCACATATTCCGTATTCTACTCTCGCTCATTTTCCGCATCCATTCCACATGTATTCCACTATTTTCACACTTTTTCGCATCCCTTCTAATTCCACGCACTCTCCGTATCATATTCGAATAATTTCCTCACTAATTCTGCATTCTCTACGAACTAATTCCACACACCGCATACATTCCACATCATCCCACATATATATTTTTTTATTGCATACAAGATACATTGTGAAAGTTATTGAGGAAAAATAGTAAAAATTTTAATCACCTTCGATTGTGTGTATAATATTTGATATAAAATTATTATTTCTACTTAATCTAACCATACTTAATATTGTTCCTTTTATAAAAAATAGAAGTTTAAATGATAATATTCCGTTTTAAATATTTTTTATAGAATGCGCGTATTGGTGCTTTTGTATAACTTTATTTTGTATGGGAGAGCTCGTGAACTTGGCGCCTTTTTTTACTTATTATATTTTATATCACACTTTGAATAAGAGAAGTGCTTACGAAGTGTGAAAATTACTCACTAGAGTGTGAGAGAGTTCATCAATTCAAGACGTTATTACGTGACAAATGATGATGACAGCAATATTAACTCATCTATTTTTATTCCGTTTAATCGTCACTTATAAAACTACATTATCTTACTAATGTAAATGCAACATTTTGCTCGAACTGATCTTTTCTTACAATTCAGTATTCACGTGAAATGGTTACATGCGTTTGATTGGAATTACTTTCATGCGAATTGGACGTGCGACACGTAGTACAATGTCCATCTTTAATTTGACATCCTTCAAATAATCAACGGGTTCCAAGTAGAATTTGTGCACCATGGATGCTACTAGAGCTTTCAGTTCTAACATGGCGAATCGTTGACCTAACAATCGTAAATCTGTCAGAATTTATTCGCGGAATAAAAAATTAAAGTCTGATAAATTACCTATGCAATTACGTGATCCCGCGCTGAACGGCAAATAGGCATAAGGATGACGTTTCTGTGTATTCTCAGGTAAAAATCTGTCTGGATCAAATACTTCCGGATTCGGCCAAAAGTTACTATCGTGATGAAGGCCGTAGATAAAGAGATGTACCATTGTGCCTTCTGGCACCAAATATGGTTCTAAAAATATCAACGAACATAATCGAGTATGTTTTGCAACGATTACAAAAGAGCTTAAGAAATAAACATATTCGCACGTAAATTATATTGTACACATACATGGCAATTCTCTTGTAAGAGGAAAATAATTCATAAAGTTGAGTTCAATAATGCGCGAGCTGTCGCGAAAAACTCAACTCTCAAAAATACTATAATATACGTTTACAATGAAATAGAAAATCGGAAAAATTATATTTATATATACATCATTTTATTGTAAAAATAACTTCTTGTTTCTTTCCACCCTTATAGAAATATCATACTAAGAATCATTGATAATTACTTATTATCCAGTATTTTTAATACTGAAAATAAGTAATTATCAATGATTCTTAGTATGATATTTCTATAAGGGCATGTTAAAGCATTAAAATGCAATCTATTAATTTAATATCTGTTTACATTGCTCTGTAGTTTTATAGAATATTGTTATATAGAGTTCTGTTAATTACTCACTTAATTGCACATCTTCGGTACAAGTGCGTGATATTATAGGCACGCTAGGATACATTCTCAACGACTCTTTTATGCATCTCTCTAAATATGATAGATTCTGTAACGCGTTCATAGTAAGCTTCCCATCATTTTCCTGCATCACCTCACAAATTTCCGTCCTCACACGGTCCTAGAAATATAAGTTTACACATTACACATTGTACTGCTTGCATCCGTACTGATTATTAATCTAAAGCGCCAATGTTCGTGTATTCTTAAGACGATTTCTCTTCGGACAGAAAAGGAAGCGCTGTGAGAAATTAATCGCACACATATGATTCTTTCCAAACTTAAAGTTACCTCCAATTATTTGGCGAGAACTTATTTACAAAACAGATAGAATAAATCAACAAACTTAGTCAATTGTATATACATATTGGTTAGCAACTTATCATACATATAGATATCGATATCTAGTTACAATATATCGATATCTAGTTACAATAAAATAATAATACAAATGGAAAGAAATATACCTGGATATCCTTGTGTTCAGCTAACAGTAGTAGACAAAAACATAGGCCTATCGCTACGGTATCGTGACCCTGTAATAATAAGAATTTCTTACTATTGATTCTCACTTATGTTATCGTACTATCAAAAATATTTCTTACTTGACCCATATTACTTAGCGTACGAATTGATCATTTTTATTCATACAAGAGGAAGAACTTAAACGTTTAAATATCATCATAGCTACTTATTTTTTCAGTGAATGAGTGCAAGATATTCAAATGTTTTTAACTTGTTTATTACTCACAAGTAAACCTATCTAAAAGATACACTCCAATTTCTTTCTAATTTGACACAGATATAGAAGTACAAAAAATATTTAGGTCATATTTTTTTCATTTTGGCCTACTTTGAGTTTCACGGGCAGTTTATAGCCTTTTAATATTTTCACTCCTATCATCAACAAATATTACAAAAATACATAAGAAATAAAATTGAATATAAGATATATATAAGTTAAATAATTTTAACAAAATCGGCATAGCTGAGATACAAACCATTCTAAATTTCTTTAGCCGAGATTCCGAGATAGCCGAGATTTCAATATTTCAAATCTGTGCTAAATTAGTCAAAAATGATTTGAATCTCGGCCAAACCGAGAAATTATTTGTATAAATAATTTTTTTCGACTTTTTACATGTTTTGTTTAAACATTTTATTATTTATTATACAAATAACTTTACACATTTGACTTCATATTCATAATCAGCAAACCAAAAACGTCTATATCTTGTATTCAATTTTATTTCTTATGCATTTTTGTTGCACTTGTTGATGATAGGAGTGAGAACATTAAGAAGATATAATAAACTGCCCGCGAAACTCAAAGTGGGCCAAAATGAAAAATATGACAAATTTTTTGTACTTTTACACTTGTACCAAATTAGAAAGAAATCGAAGTGTAATCTTTGGATAGGTTTACTTGTCAGTGATATTCAACTGAGTATGTGGTTGAAAAACTACGGTTTGAAAAACCTAAAATTGATTTAACATTGTACACGTGTGCAGAAATTAGTGCATAGTAAGATACACACAATTAAGAAACATCCCAAAAAAATATTTTATATTATATCATCATCATTGTTGTTAAAATAATTGACAGTAACCAAATAGAAACGTTATATTTCTCAACAATTTAACAAAACTCAAGCCTTTACCTCGAATACAAAGGTGTCCACTTCTTCTCTAATGTCCGAATCAGTTAACATGTTGTTGCGAGATGCCGCTATCAAAATATCTAACATGGCCATTCGCTTCTTTTTAACTTAAACATATAACTTATATGAGTATATATTTCGTAAAAAAAACACACAATTATTCTCTATTCTCTAAACTTACTGCCTGCCACTTCCGTGTCTTCAGTTTTTGTATTGTTTTCGAAATACTTCAAGTATTGTTCACCGCTTTGTTCGTGATAACGTCTTCTTTCCGCAATAATCTACAAAAATGTAAAATATAAAATCACGCTTGTAACATCACTTACGTTATCGCACTACCAAAAATATGTTTTACTTGGCACACGAATCGATCATTTTCATTTATGTAGAAGGAAGAACTTTACTTAAACGTTTAAATGATATGATCATGGCTACTTACTTTTTCAGTGAATGAGTGCAAGATATTCAAATATAAATCTTGCTTATTACCCAGTGACGTTAAATTGAGTATTGTGTCACTGTAAAGCCACGGTTTGAAAAACCTAAGTACAATTATACAATAGGAGAATCAGTTAGAATAAGAGATTATTAAATAAGTTTAGAAAAGCAGTTATATTACTTCTAAACAGCACACGTTAATTTCTTTCAACAAACGTATTCGCTAATTACCTATCGGTTATAAGTTTACTTATATCAGAAACTGTCTGACGGTACTCTTGTTGAAACGAACTAAGATCGTTCAAAGAAATGCCCATGGAAGTTTCTGCAAGTGAATTTATTTAAATCATATAAATGTCTACTTATTGATCATACTATTTGACCACAATGGCTTGCTATTGTACACAGGTGGTATCCATCGTATCTTATTTGAAAACTGTAAGACATAGAATAAAAGGAACTAGTTTGAATCCAGAAACAATTTCTTAGAAAATTCAAAGAGAATTATCTCTTCGATCGTGTTTCCCTCTTCTCTTTCAAAAGAGGATTTCAAAAACATTAAAACGTGTAACTCTGTAAAAATCGATTAAATTAATAAAAATGATTATCAACATAATAAATGTTTAATGGATTCTTGAAGCTCTGTACAAAAAAAGACACGAATTTGTTAGAAAAAAAGAAATACAAAACTATATATATTAAATTAATAATATATACCACATATTGCGTTTAACGTGTGATGACTGGTAAAGAATTGCATGTTTTCGATAATCGACTCTTCCATATGATTAAAAGATTCCGTTATCCTATTACCCTCCTCGATGAAGATCTCAACAAAGTCTTTCAGTATAGAAAAGTGAAATGCAGAAGTTAGTATCTTCCGTCTGTTTTGCCACTTTATGCCTGTAGAAGAGATAAAAATAATAATAAGATAAGATAATATCGCGTTATATACACACATACATACATATACACAAATATACACATACACACACATAAATATATACAGGGTGACCCACGTAAAGTGTTACAAGCTAATAACTCTAAACATATTTGTCCTATCAAAAAGTTGTTCATGAGAAAGTTTCATATATTCGAGGGGCCTTGGCAATAATCTTGACAAGAATTACGCATAGAAAGATACAATGTGCGCCATTATTAATTCTATCGTATTACCTTTGCTAATGAGAAGGCCATCGCCTAGCCAAGGACGAAGTAGTTCGTAAACGAAACCTTTTACGGTGTGTTTCGTGCTGTTTAGCATGTTCTAAAATCATAGACGTCACAAAATTAAAAATTACGTCGATATTATCGAATTATAGAGTTAAAAACATGGAATGTGTAATACGCTAAGAGATGTGTGTACGATTCTAGAATTGAAGCCACCGGCTATAGTCATCGTTAGTGAAAACGCTATATGGTAAATAAGATGAATTTGTTTTCTGTGATAGTTCCTTTACCTCTATATAGTCCGGATGTACAATTATAACGTTAGGAACCGTAAAATACCAAAACTTAAGAATTGGATAATATGTAACCATCAAATTACGTGTATGCGACCACATTTCCTCTAAAATGTAAAAAATATTAAAGTTATGAGTGTTCTCTACTATTATAGTACTATTCTTTTCGGCGAATCACTATATGACTTAATTACCATTGACATTTTGCATCTCGGTAACAAGTTGTTGGAATTTTGATTAGTAATATTAATTTAATTCTTCATTATGTATGAGTGACAAGCATAAATCAATAATTGATTAAATAAAGGTTCACATAACTTTACTTACCTGGCGAGATGAAAGCATAACGTAAACAATTGCCTAAAATAGGAAGTGGCTTTACTCCCGGTATACGATTAATAAGTCGTCCCTTTTTACTAAAATGAACGATATAATAATGAAAGAGCATGATAAAGAAGCATATTAACAGTAAAGTGACAATCATTGTTCGTTGAGATGATGACCGATTTAAAAACTTCCGTCGTTCTCTTTTTATCCTTCAAGAGTTATGCTGCAACAGAAAAAATGTAATACGGTTTTACGAAGAACAATCCACAATAATGTATAAATATTTACATAAATTTACGTAACGCACATAAAATTGCAAGCATTCATACATTTATAAGAATGAGCAGTTGTGTAATTCCAAAATTCAGAAAGATACAATACAGGAGAGCTTGAAGAACTGGCGGCAACGTTTGGTACGTCGACGTACGTCTCAACACTTTAAGTTATCACTAAACTTGTATCGTATATCACCGATCGTATATCGCGAATCGCATATTTCATTGTGATACGATACGCTAATACGATACTGTAATAAAGTCCAATTTTCGAGCTGTATTTATATAGCCGCAGTCATATCTGTGATATGTATATTTTGTTTGTTTTTCCATTAGATATATTCGTGTCCTTAAACATACATACGTTCAGTGTGTGTAGACGACATCTCTTTCTATACAATTGGCTACTATCACCTACATTGTACGTTAAAATAGAAAAAAAGGAAGAGTGGCGTGCTGGTGAAAAGGAAAACAACAGAAAAAAAGAGAAGCATGCTTCTCTGCTCCACTTTCGACATGAAGAGAAGTCATTCGATTATGACTTAGATAGGAATAGATATCCATATGATAGATGGAATTGATGTCCATATCACGCATAATTTCTTTGACGTAACGGCGAAATACCGATTCCAAATCGATTATGGTCAACGTATCAACGTATCAAATTTTAATGGCGTCCTGTCCTTAAACGATCATGATATAAATCTCGACGCGAATTTGATAATATGATACAAGTCTGGCAGCTTTAAATGCGCACTTTAAATCAAATGTTTAATAATCTGATAACAAATAATCGTAATTTTTCTTCATTTGTGGAATAGCGCAATCAACATAAGTTGTTTTTATAATAAATATTAATAAATACTTCTCTCTCTCTCCCTCTGTCTTTCTCCCTCTCTCACATACATATCTTTCTTTCTTTCTCTATCTATTTCATAAATTAACTAAAAAATAATCTAAATATTACCTATATATATATATATATATATATATATATATATATATATATATATATATATACACATCAAAAAATAGGAAAAAAGGGGCAATTCGAGTTCAAGCACAGGACTAATAGTGCCATATGGGTAAAACCTTCCTTGTGTTAGGAAATCGTGTAATATATATTGAACATGAATAATCAATATAAAACAATCATATCACGTTTCGGCTCAAACATGAACCCTCTTCAGTGATAATAAAAACTCAAGGTTTACGATATGAACGCATTACAATTAGTTAAAGACCTGAATAAATTGACATGAATGTTAATCACAATATTAAAGCCGACAAGATCGTTACCGAAATAATATTAAGTAGTTAATTAATATTGAGAAGTAGCCGTCATAACTATAAAAAATCATAAAATAAAATAAAAGTAAATAAAATTGAAATATAATAAATAATTAAAACTGACAATATAAAATACCTTTGTTGAGCTCAGCTAAAAATAAACCGATCCTGTCAATGATAACATCGCCACGTCTACGAAATACAAATAATTATAGATTTATATAGCATTAATATTGCGGAAACGACTTGTGGAAGAGAAGGAAACCAAAACAAAGTTTATTTTCATAACAAGCCGCAGTAGCTGCTGCCTAAATATTCAGTATCCTTTTGTGAGTTAAGACCATACTTTTGAAATTTAATGAAAATCATTTTTGAAATCAGGTGTTTCAAGTAAAAGCGTTCATGTAAAACTTTGGCATGATCCCAATCGAAATCATGGTTCTTCCTCAAACGATGTTCCTGTATGGCCGTTAACTCCACCGTAGAACTCCTAGGAATTCTCCTATGTTCGGCAATACGTGTAGAGAGTCTTCTACTAGTTTGACCAACATAACGTATGATTGTTTTATATTGATTATTCATGTTCATAAATATTACACGATTTCCTAACACAAGGAAGGTTTTACCCATATGGTAACACTATTAGTCCTATGCTTGAACTCGAATTGCCCCCTTTTTCCTATTTTTTGATTGATATCTTCGTTTGCGAGTTCTTATTTCTTTCTCTAAATATATATATACACATGTATATATATTACTTATATACTATATTACCTATATATTAATACTAGTTATAATAACCACATAAAAACATAAGTTAAAAACATTACTTTTTTATTTAAAAAATGTCATTTTACCGTAGTCTATAGATTTATCTGATTACCTATAACGTGTTATTCATTACTGTTTACTGAGCAATATATTTAAGAAAAGATAATTAAAATATAATCGGATTTTGTACTAAGTATGAATTTACTTTAACTGACTCGAAATAAAATGAATGAGGTTTACTTACTTACGAAAATTCTACGGTCACATTGAAAAGATTCCAGACTATAACACAGCCCAGCGATGACTGAACGAAACTGACAATTTCATTGTGGACTGTCGCTGAGCAGAATCGCTGAGTCTGCATTTTTTTTTAAAGCGGTCATGATCTGATTACTTCTTTTTTATTAATGATAAACATTTTATACTGAATCTCACAAGGCCCAAGGTTAATCATATCGTTAAAATGTTTGTATTTTTATCTTAATGTTTCATCACAATGTTTATATTTTTAATGCTTTAACAAACCAAATTTGACTAGAAATTAGGAATCAACCCATAATTGGAACTGTGACCTTAGAGATTTCGCAATTACACGCATCAGAGGTATATACCGTTGGAAAACGAAACAATACGGAAACTTCCGCACAAAATTTGTCAAAGTGTGAATCTTAGTCATTTATATCTTAAAGATTTTCGACGCTCTATGTGCTTACAATACTCTATATTTTCAACATTGCCTATTATAATATTTCCATCTAAATCTCCTGACTTCTCTGTTCAATATGCCTACTATACATATACTCGCAATTGCACACGTAAACGCGTGTCATAGCAATAATATATATAAGTGGCAATCATATACACTCGTTTACTAAACGATGACCATACATTTTTCTGAATAAAGTTCAGAAGCGCTCCTGGTTGTCACAAAATAAAAGAGACTATTGACGCGTTCGGGCTATAATTAGTAAATGAAGGGATGTATTTAAAACCTTCAAAGTCTACAAGTTCGTGATTTAAACTACAAGTAAATGATAATATTTGAATGTTATATTAATCAAATTTATTATCACAATCTATACTATTACTTCGACTCCTGTCATAACTGGCATATTATTTCCTATCATATCTCTTGTCGAGGAAATAAATTCTTGTTTTGAGATTTTTTTTATATGATATAATGGTATAATGAGCTTTTCTCAAATTTAGGATGAGTACATCCTAAATAAAAAAGCTTTAGCTGCAAGTTTCCTATAATACCATGTTATAAACGAGAACTTTTATCGAAAAGATATTGCCCTTTTAATCAAGTAGATTATTTGTTTGCTAGATATTATTCTAAATAATCTATAGATCTCTTATTCAAATAAACATATTCCTCTTGAATATATCAAGAGGAATATGTTTATTTAAATAAGAATACTCTCTTACGCGATAAGAGAGACGTCGCAAACAAGACTTATCCGTAGATCTACAAATCTATAGATTTACAGATAAATCTTGTTTGCGACGTCTCTCTTATCGCTCAGAGACCAGACGAAAATTCGGCTGTAGTTGTCTCAGCCGAGTTCTAATGTCGCCGAATATTCAGAGTTTTCATACAGAGTTTTCATAACATATCACTTCTGACCATCTAATCTTCAATTAGTTCTTTCTAATCTTCAATTAGATTGTACCAATTGAGATTTTTTTTCCGTATGAAAAGAAAGAAGATAACCCGAAAGGTTGCTTTTTTTAGCGATAGAATGATATACTTTTCTGTTGTATGCAAGCATACAATTCGTGAGAGACGCGATTTGTGTGCACACGGCAATAACTCGAAGCGAAAAGGAATTTCCACGGCTACTCCGCTGGGAAGTAGTCTAATCTGGTAAGAAACGGAGCAAGCACGAATGTCTCGCGGCCGAGATGTCGCAGACAGGTCAAATGTACAACGTACAGGAAGCAACTGGTCGCCTTTGGCCTCTCGCCAGATTATGCACTCGCTTTCTCGTCCCCTCGCGAACTCTCATTGCCGAATCTGCCGGTCGTACGCCGGTTCGTCGACACTCTCCCAAACGTTCGAGGGAACCCGCAAGATGCGCTTACACGAACGTTTTTCTTGGCCGTTTTTACTCACGTGCGGAACGTAGTTCCGTGCTGTTTCGGGCTGGCGCGCCGCGCGAATATTCACGGCTGGGTTTTCATCTCGAAAGCAGTTCGATCGAATTAATTATCGGCCACATCGGCCGTGCGCGGCTTTCTTGCTCGGTAACGTCCGAGAATTCTCGTGTTTTCAGCGCGCGAGGCCCCGCAATAATCGCAGTAATATCGCACGCGAGCGTTCCCCTCGCAGCGGGAAAAGCCGGTTGGAAGGCCAACAGCGTCTAATTCCGGACTAATTACTTTCTCACCGTCAAAGAGGCATGCTAAATTCGTTACGCGGTCGTTAAGCGGCTGCACTATCTCCCTGACGTTGATGTTCGCGCGAATCGAGTGTATTGGACGGCTACGAGCGAGGCTTTATCGCTTCTGCTTTCTTTATTTTCTGTCTTTTTTCTCTACTTTTATAACGCCATGCGAAGCCCAAAATGTCGAAGTGATGATTCCGCTCGAGATGTGAAGTAAATGTAGGGAAAATCGGGGCTATATGGCTCCAGGCGTATGTGCTTTTCTTTAGTATTTATCTTGAAAGTAATAGTGGGTAGAAAATCGCGAAATGGTTCTTTCAAAACATAAATATACTTTTCTCTTAGTTTCATTAAAATCGGGATAATATTAGAGTTAAGAAGTAGAAAAAAAAACTGATTTGGTAACAAAGTTTTACATGAGGAACGCTTTTACTTAAAATGCCTGATCTCAGAAATGATTTTCATCAAATTGCAGAAGCAAGGTCTTAACTCACAAAAGGATATCGAATATTTGGGCACCAGCTACTGCGGCTTGTTATGAAAATAAACTTTGTTTTGATTTCTTTCTCTTCCACAAGTCGTTTCCGTATTGTTAATGCATATAAATCTGTAATTATTTGTATTTCGAAGACGCGGCGATGTTATCGTTGACAGGATCGGTTTACTTTTAACTGAACTCAACAAAGGTATTTTATATTGTCAGTTTTAATTATTTATTATATTTCAATTTTTCTTACTTTTATTTTATTTTATGATTTTTTATAGTTATGACGGCTACTTCTCAATATTAATTAACTACTTAATATTATTTCGGTAACGATCTTGTCGGCTTTAATATTGTGATTAAAATTCATGTCAATTTATTCAGGTCTTTAACTAATTGTAATGCGTTCGTATCGTAAACCTTGAGTTTTATTATCACTGAAGAGGGTTCATGGTTGAGCCGAAACGTATGATTGTTTTATATTGATTATTCATGTTCAATAAATATTACACGTTTTCCTAACACAAGGATGGTTTTTACTCATATGGTATATAGCACTATTAATCCTGTGCTTGAATTCGAATTGCCCTTTTTCTTATTTTTTGATTTAACAGCAAAGAGTAAATTTTCGAGCCTCTCGAAATCTTGTATTAATATTCTTCATTGTAAACGAATAAAATGAAGCGATATGTTACTAGCTAGAATGAAATTTCTTGCAAATGTGTGATATATTGTTTTTCATAATAAATGCAATTTTTATTTATAAAATAATTAGAAATAGTGCACATAAGTGCACGAAGTAAAGTTGGCCCAATTAAAAGTCAACAAGAGGGCTGTGGAAATCTCTCGCGGCTCAGATTAGAGAATTACATATTCACAATGGACTCGACATAATCCTTAATTGTATGTAAAAAAAATGTCATGGACCCAAAATCAGGCGAAACATGGCTGCCTTCTTTCACTCCAAGAAATTCAGAGAGTACTGATGCTAAAATCAGACGCGTTCATCCGGTCTCGCAAAGCTGTACGCTTAGTAACGCACACTGTGATTTCTTCACTGTTAATTAACTGCATTTCTCATTACAGGAGCTGGAATTAAGAATAGAGACGCAAAAGCAGACACTGCAAGCTCGCGATGAGAGCATCAAGAAGCTCCTCGAGATGCTTCAGAACAAGGGGATGGGTGAGTCGTTGATTGCAATTCCCTCTTCAAACTACTTTAATGAATGATCTTTAACACTGCATCCTGTTGCGAGGAATTCCAAGTGTGACCGTCGATCGTTAGTGAATACTGCGGTGAAATCGACAGAAAGAGAAGCTCGCGGATGGTCCAAATGCTTTCGCGCTCGAAATGAACGAAGTTTCGCGCTCGATTTTTCCACACCGCATCTCTCGAAAGGAAAAATATCGTTTTTTTTTCGGCAGCTCGGACGAGGGCTTTTCGACTCGTTTGCCTTGCCTAGCCTCCTGTGAGATCTCCGCGGTAATTTTCCGCAATTTCGCCGTATTACAGCGCGCGAATTTCCAAGCGACTTCGCGCGGCATAACGAACACACGCGCGCGCGCACACAGCCGTGAAGTGAGCCGGAATTGAGTGCGAGGTCGAATGTCTCGCTCGCGCGAGGAAACGCTTGCCCGTCGATATACTCGGCAAAGGCAAATGAACCGCGCGATACGCCTCCGCTAACGAAGGCGAGACTCGATTTCCCCTCTCGACGAATTTTTCGCGTATACGTCGGTCGTCCTCGGCAGCCGTAAAGGTGTATCGAATTATCTCGTTAGGTCCGGTCGCGGCAACTCGCCGGAGCGGGCAAACCCCGCGCGCTTTCACAGCTCTCGTTTCGCCGTCCTGCGACCCGCATGATCGCATCCTGCGGAACCGACGGCGCACGGATGGTAAAAGACGGCGTGCGGGAAAATAGAATTTTCAAGAGATACACCCGCAAACGAGCCCCACGGCAAGGAGAATAAAAAGATAGACGAGAAGTCTCCCTTATAACGAGAGCGGCCCGTTCGCGAAACACGCTGACGAAGTACGCGACATCGAGAGTATGCTGCTTCGGTTCGCGACACGATAACTAACGAGCGGATCTCGAGATCGAGGCACATATTGCGGAATAAATTGTCACGTTTCGGCACACTCGGCGAGAGCGGTGCGCGAACACGCGCCTCGCCCACGTGTCGATATCTTGCTCATATCTTCGATTTCCATTGGGAGCGATTGATAGACCGAATTTTATTTCCCTTGCTTAGGATACCATAAAAACGGCTGCAACCACAGAAGAAAAGTATACTTGAAAATTTACTTGTGGATAGTAAAGTTTGTTTCTGTGAGACACAAGGTTTATTCTCTTTGAAATGAAACTTTTAGTCCACAAATACATTTTCGAATATTCTTTTTTCTCAGTACATTGTTCCGTCTGTCGCGATATAAATACCCAGGAAAAATTATTATATATGAATTATATATGAATTTTGTCTATTATGGCCATGTACAGAGGATGAATCACTTAATGTCAGGTTCTAAAATATCTGTTTTTCTTTACATCGCTCTGAGAAAAAGATGTTTGAAAATTTATTTACGAGATATAAAATTTATTTCTGTGAAATAAAGTTTACTTTTTCTAAATAAAATTTATTTCCATAAGCAATCTTTATGGAAATAAATTCCCTACAAATAAATTTTCAAATATTTTTGTCTCAATGTAGAAAAGAACACAACACCTAAAGTTGAGACATAAGATATCTTAAAGACGTTTTAAAGACATCTTAGAGACGTCTTATATTCCGACGTCTCAGAGACGTCTTTAAGATATCTTTTAGATTATGTTCCGATTTTAGACGTTGTGTTGTGTGAGTAATAACGACCTTCAGAAAAAAAGTTTGGTTAGATGAATCAATTGCTGGCGAAATATGAACAATTCAGAAACTCAAGTTGAAGTTATCAAAATTCAGTCTAAATTATCAAGATTCCTGGTTAATTTAAACAGAAACCTAGTAATTTCAATTGAAATTTCTTAGTCGTTCATATTTAATTAAAAATTAGTTCATCCAACCAAACTTCCTTTTCCCGCGTTGATATTTCGCTAGTCACAATATTTATCTCTTTCAACCGTACAATTTATTCTTTACATATTTTCTCTTCTAATACAAAAAAACAACAAATATTTTAAAATCTAATTTTAGACGACTCACCCTTCTAAAGTCATACACAATTAAATATGTCCTCACGGAGGGAAATGCTGTTGTGCAAATATAAATAAAATAACTGCTTGTGTGTTTGTGGCAACATGTGAGGTCGACGTTTAATATTTTCTTTTCTTCGTTCAACAGCATTTGTTTTCTGTGTGGATATATACGGGGTGTTTCAGTAAAGGTTGGCAATCTCCCAGAGGTATATAGATCAGGTGAAATGAAACCCATAAGCTCGTATAAAATTGTTTTCTATAACACACCCCTGCTAATATGTGACCCCGAAATTAGGATTTAAAAGAAATTTTCTAAAAATAACTTTTTGATATTACCAGCTAAAATGTAAATTATTGGAATAAAAGGTGCTATTTAACATTTGTTATGATTTTGGATAAATCTATTTTATTTAAATTAATTTTAACTTAATTAGTTCAGAGTTTCGTCTTACACGAAACCATTATTAATAACGATAATCTTATCTTTAAAAATAATTTTACCTCTCACTATTCACAAGTGCGGTATTCTCAAAAATTATTCGTTTTTTTTTTTTTTTTAATTAAAAAAGAATATCTTTTTTTACAAAAAAGTTTGAGGATTTTAAAGGAATGTTTTAAAATTAACAAACCCTACTCCAATATATGAGGATTAACAAACTTGAAGATAGTTCGCTCACTTCCTGATATCAAAAGATTTATTAAATTCCTTAACTTTATAAAATCCTAACGATTATCAAGATAATATAAAGATTATCAAAATCTGCTATATAGTTGTTTTAGAAAAAGCTTTACAGATCCCAGTTTCAGAGACGAATATCTCAGTAAGGAGCATTGTAGGGAAAAATTTTAGATGAACTTATAGGGGTTATTTTCATCTGAACTATATATTCCTAGGAGATTGTCCACATTTACTAAAACACCCTGCATAATTACCTATGATTACACATGCAAACAATATATAAAGATCCACATGTACGATAATTATATATAATTTATATATAATTTTATATCATTTTTTATGTGTAATTGCATATGATTCTTTTTGTGCTCGGGTAATTTGAACACGATGCTGAAGAGAAAAATTGGCAAAGATTGCGGTCGAGTGTAAACTGTTGTAGGTAATCATCAGAATCGATTGAAAATTTCACGCATCGACTTACACACACACGCGTGCGCGCGCGTGCACACACACACACACATGCACACATATCCACACACCCACGCACACGATCACACATCCACATACACATAGACACAAAAAACGTCCACGAGACACATAATCACACTGACGATCCGAAAACCTGGGACCAACAGTTCCTCCAAGAGTTCCTCGTTACTTTCTATTGTTCTAGGAAAAGAGGAGGAAAGGATCATGTTCCAGCAGATGCAGTCGATGGCCCAGAAGCAGGTCCTTACGCTATTTCTACCCATGTCGCATATATATATATACTCATAATTATAAATCTATATATATATGTATACATACGCGCATATATGTATATACATATATGTATATATGTACATGTGCGTGTGTGTGTCACTCTCATTACGATCGACGCTCATTAACGTATCGACGCATATGTGTATATATCTGTGCATCAGCTCTATCCGCCCATCTCTGCTGTGTCATTATTTGTGTGTGTACAATTGTATATACACGTATGCGCTGACATTTTGAAAATCGCTGCCCATTGTTTTGTGCGAGTAGTTGCTTGCGAGTAGCCAATTATTGCACTGCCAATCGCTTTTACTTTTTCGCCCCGTGTCTTTCGTCGTGTGCTCACGCTTGAGAATACTTGTGTATATCACCATATATATACATATATATATATACATATATATATATATATATATATATATATATTCCCCAAGAAAGTAGGAAAAAAGAAAAAAATGAGAGGGGAACAAAGTGCATTCTGGAGAAGCGGAAAATATAAACGCGATACGAACAGGCGAGCGCCGCAGGGGGTGAGTGGAGTGGTCCCCTCGCTCTTGTTAGCTTCCTCCCCCGGGGGTGGCGGCTCACCCTCGATTCGAGGGACCGACAGGGTCGAGGTACGAGGCACTCCTCTCGCCTCGTGCGACTCAACTCGATCATTGCCCCCGCGATCGATCGGGCTGCCATCGAGCGGCGGAAGGGCTCTCCCGTTCTATGTTCCGCAATCTCGCGGCGAGATTAAGGTACGGTATTATATGAAGCACATGCGAGATCGGGAGACGCCGATAGACAGAGGCGGCCGGAACATTGACGCGACGCGAGCTTCGGGAACTCGCGGAAACGACAGGTGGGACAGGTGCGCGAGGCAACTTTCGATTACATCCGACGAGACCCGGCTCGAACGACCCGGCCGGAGAGTCTTCCGATTCCGGCGCGGACGCGAGGAAACCTCGAAGGAATCCGTCGGAAATCCGCGAGAAATGGCGGAAGCATTCCGCGGAGAGAGAGAGAGAGAGAGAGAGAGAGAGAGAGAGAGGCTGAAGAGTTGGGAGATTCAAGGGGGAAGACTCGACAATCCGAGGGTTTCCTACTCGTAGCAACGACGTCGCACTCGCGACGTCGTGCTGTATCTAGCTGGAGTGATCGTTTCGGAATCCTCGAGGGAGGATTCCCGCCTCGATCGTGGCCAGGATTGCTTATCGCTGCTCTTCGACTGTGTCGCGTACTTTTCTGTGCCTCTTTCTTCACGCGCTCTCTTTCACTCTCCCTCTCTCTCTCGCTGTGATCGCCCAGACCGATGAGGCTTCTCGTGCGAACCGCGAGGCACACGCGCGATGGTTAACGGGTTAAAGAGCAAACTCGACTCTCGACCTAGCGATCCGACCTCATCTCGCGGTGTAGCTCGTGCAATCGAGATATTTCGGCGCTACATCTCCCGGAACAATTCGTGGTGTTCCGTCTGTTCCGGCGCTTTTGACGGCGCTTCCGCCTTCCCCAGGGTGGAAAATCAAATCAGAGATGGAAAATCGCCGGGGCTCTCACACACCGATACTCAACGATGCGCGGCGAGTACATGTTTACAGCCGACAGATACGCCCAACACACACACACACACACACACATACAGTACACACAGGTACACGAACATATATTCGTACGCACCGTCCTTCGTCTTCCAACGCACATACCCGCATCCACACACAAACACACAACACGCACATAAATTCGCACTCATGCTCGCGTCCAGCGTGCACGTAATCGCAGGTTTACTCTCTCACGAAGTGTATGAACGCGCGCACTTTTCCCCTTCGCGCCACTATGCAGCAGTTTTCAAAAATTCACGCTCATAACGCGACGGTGTATAGAGTAGGTCGGAACTATATGACCCCAGGAGTATGTTTTGCTCATGTGTTTTTTTTAATATTTATTTTGAGAAAAGTAGTGAGAGAAAAATACAAAATCACGAAATGATTCTTTTAGAATATAAATACACTTTTCTCTGAGTCTCATTAAAATCGAAGTAACATTACAATTAAGAAATAAAAAAAACTACTTGGTAATAGCAAAGTAAATTTTCGAGCCTCCTGAAATTTTGCATTAATATTCCCCATCATGCCTGAATAAAATTAAGTAATGTGTTACTAGCTAGAATAAAATTCCTTATATAATATACTGTTTCCGGTAATAAATTCAATTTTCATTCATAAAATGATTGAAATATAGAATATAGGCGAACGAGAAAAAAGGTTGATTTGTAATTAAGAGTTGGCAAGAGGGTTGTGGTCTTCTCGCGCGAAGACTCTGGACTATTAATCAGAATACATATACGTGGCCTTCTCACTCTTCGCTACTGGACAACTGAACCCGATATCAGGACAAGATGGCTATGTTGCTGCACATTCGTATTTTAGTTATTACAAAACATACGATTAACAGAGTCGTAGCGGACATTAATGTAAAGAAGAAGGTTGCCTTTATCATATTTATATAGTCAGTCACTGCAATTAGTTGCCTGAGAAGTTATAACTTCAAAATTCTAAAATATATGGCATCTAGCCCCAGTCTCCCCTACTGTACTTCTGTTGCAGTATCAGAGGCAAGAATCTTGGGACAAATGCGCCGCTAATATCACGTCGTAGTCCGCCGAAACGTTGGAAGTTTACAGATCCCGGTCTTTATTGCTAATGTCGCTTTATCGTCTCGTTTATTTTTATAGGATTTTCGATACACAGCATTCTGACGTCCCGTCAGGTTATACGAGCGATATAAAACACGTGGCATCTAATGCAAAAATTCGTGTCGCCGAGTCGCGCATGATACCATCAGTAACGCTCGTAAACGCCTAATCGCAAATCCGGAGACCGTTAATTACAAGAAAGTAACGATTTTTTTGAGCATCTGTCTGTCAACACGTTGAAACATCTTTTCCTGGTACCAGGCTCAGTTCCCAATAGCACGGGGTAAGAAAGTCACATATAAAAAATGTAAAATAAAAATAAAATAAAATAAAAATAAATAAATAAAATATAATAAAATTGCTTTTATTGTTCGAAACATTATATCGTACCTGCAAGAAACTTCATTCTAGCTAATAACACGTCGTTTAACTTTATTCATTCACGATGGAGGATGTTAATACAAAATTTCGAGAGGTACAAAAATTTGTTTTAAAACAGCTTTTTATATTTTTTAACTGCAATATTATTTTGACTTTAATAGAATTCAGGGAAAAATGTTCCAAAATAAAGCTATTTCGCGATTTTATATATATCCACTGTTCTTTTCGACATAAATACTAAAAAAGGCACATGAACAATATACCCCCCGGGGCTATCTAGACCCAGTTTGCCTTGATAAATTCGTGTAATACCAGATTACAAAATATATCTGATCAAATTATTCTTGCTGTCACATATAAATTTTGGCTTCAGTATAAATATACTCTAACTAGTGCAATACACGTGTTTTAAATTATATTATTACAAGGGAAGAATATTATAGTTTTTTTATATAAATTCTTTTCAATTTCATTGTATTTGTAATAGTGTAGAAATAGACTATTAGTGAGGTCTGATTTGAAATATAGTCAATTCCGCTATTAACATAGCAAATTTTTTAATGGTGCATTCCAGTTACTGAAATATAAATAGCACAAATAATGTAAAAAGAATAATCACTGTAGAACATCAACCTACTCCTCAGTTACGAAATTCTGCATTAACTTTTTACTATAAAATTCTTCTCGTGTAATACACTATTTTATTCAATAAAAATTCTCTACGTGTGTATGCGGCAAAACTATCATGCAAGATAATATTGCATAATTTGCTTACTTATGTTGTATTAATGATAACACATCATTACTATTTTTATAACAACTCAGTAGATCCTTCCTCAATTAGACAAGTCGGGAAAACTTATGCATCACCCAGATATAGGTGACGCGGCAGTCAATGTGTTGAAAAGCACAGAGCGAGAAAAGATGAAAAGAGGAAGAACGTTAAGACACTCGTATCGCGTCTCGAGCGATATCTCGAGCGCGTCGATTCCGTCGGACTTGCATGGCAACGATACAGGAGCGTCCGTCGACGTGAATTTTTGAAGCGTCGATGTGTACCACCGCTTATTCACCCACACACGCGTACGAGCACACACAGCAATTGTCGCTGCGCCCCGCTGTACCACTGTCACATAGCGAAACGAGCCTATCTATTTACTGTGTGACCGTCGTGAAAAGTTCCCCGAAGCACCTGAGCACCGCCGCCACCGTCACCACCACCCCCAGCATCGCCATGTCCGCTCTGCCCCACGCAATCCGTGTTAGATAGTTTTTAGAGCAGACGTAGTCGTGTACCCCGAGACCGTTTTCGCCCGTTTTATAGCGCCTTTCCTCTCGTTTATAGTACATACGTTCTCGGTATACACGGATGCGAAGTCGTTCGGAAAAGCTACTATCATCAGCTCGCCGCCGCCGCCGCCGCCGCCGCCGCCACCGCCACCGCCGCCATCGCCGCCGCCGCACGTTACCGGCTCCCCCCGCTTGCCGTCTTTCGCGCTTTTTGACCCACTTTCGTGCGTCGCGTTCACAGTGGCGGCGCCCTCTCGCTATACGCGCAGCTTGTGCTAACCGTGAAATTTCACCCCCGCGCGACTCTTCCATGGTCGCGCAATTCCGAGAAAATGTCCGAGGCGTCGGGGAGCCAAAGAGTCGCAAGTAGAAAGCAATGGCTCGAATGATTTTCGGCCGAATTGGAGAAAGGAGACGCGTTGACGCGTTTTATTGAAAATCCTCTGTGCATAAAAATGTGTATACTACGAGGCAAAGAGAAGATAAGGAATTCAATTGCGGCGTGGTACGGAGCGATCGGCGCGAGTGTGTCCGTAATCGCGTTCGTGGGCGTGCGTAATGAACGTTTTTCACGAACAACGTCGCATTCGCAGTCTCGTTACCGGCCCCTTTGCACTCTCGTGTCCATGCCTGTTAGACTTTAGGACTTAGACGGAGTCTATGTAGCTTGAGTGGCACTCGAAGCCGGGGAGGGAGGGAGGGAGGGTTTCGACGGGACGAAAAACTGACGGATCCGTGGCACTCCACGAGTGGCACTTCCGCACACGAGTCGGACGGAACAGGCGAGCGAACAAGCACGCCGACAATCACCCACAAACAGAGCACATCTTCGTCCATCTCGTTCTTTCGTCTTTCTGTCTCTCTGTCTGTCTTTCTTTCTTACTTTTTCTCATTCTGTCACAGAGATCGCAAGCACCATCCTCACCTTCCCGTCTTTCTCTTTCATTCATCTCCTCCTACGCCTTCGTGAGGAAACTTCGCGACCTTTCGGCGAAATCTCGAGCAATCAACTGCACCAGCACCAAGGCCTATCTCTCGTTGTTCGTTGTGTCGGGAACTTAGCAAGCACGAGCATTGTACCGTGATATCACCCACCATCCGTCCCCACCGGTCCCTAGGCCCTTCGATAAATCCCTTGGCGTACGCCGGACTCGAAGCCGGCATAATCTCGTCGAGTTCAGATCTTGGCTCTAGGAGATACACTTTCTAAAGTACAATCGGTGCGAAATGCTATACTTCCCGAGTAGAACATTGACTGGAGTCTAATAGTAGCTGGCCAGGGATTCTGGTTAGGATAAAATACCCCAATTATTGACACCTAATTATCGATCTCCTTTAATCCCCGTATAACTCTAAATAACTTTAGAAAAGGCGTTTTATTGCGATCAACGACGATTATTCACAATTTTAATTGTGCAGTTCTCTTTTGGAACCATTGAACGCAAGCAAGAAGTTCAGCCGCACTATGCTGGTCGCATAGAAACCCAAATTTTTTTCCTAGAGTGTCAATGATTAAGGGGATTAAGAAAGGTTGGTTTCTGGCCAGAAACTGGCCAGTTTTGGCGACGTTCACTTCCCCAGTAACAATAAAACTAATCAGTTTCTGACTACTTTCTGACCAGTTTCTAGTCAGAGTTCCTATTTTTTGTAAAAAATTCTCGTTTGATTACATTACATTATAAAATATTATGTTTTATTATTCAATAGACAATGTAAAAATAACGTAAAAAAAACTCGAGTTTCAGAAAAGACAGAATATCTTCACGTGAAAACTCACTCATCACTAAGATAGTTATAGCTTTATTTTTAATTTCCCTTTTTTTTTATCAAGTTTCTGGCCAATAAGTAGCCAAAACACATTGGTCAATGTTTTTCTGGCCAGTTTCTGAACAGTCACTGTCTAAGTAAAAATCATAGACAGTCAAAATTTTAGCCAGTTTCTGGCCAATAATCAGTTGTCCCCGGAAATTGTTCTACTCGGATCATAACTGCACGGAAAAAACAATGCTGTTAGTGTAACTGAATTTTCCATCACTTGGTAAAAATATGAATCAGATGGAAAATTCCATCTGGTTGTAGAAACAAAGATACTACTGCAGGAGATTTCTACTCAGTCAGTTGTTGTTATTGCAGCCGAGTTTTGCTGAATATTCAGACGAATGTTTTCTAATAATAACGTATTACTTCATATCGCTGAATTTTCATCTGGTCCTTATTCAGTTGCACGAGCTGAGATTTGCTCCCGTGCGGTAGTTAATTGTAAGTATAGCAAATCAGTAAATCAGTAAAATCTCGCTGAAGGGATCAGTCAATAGTAGCGACCTGCCATTATTGGTGCATTTTGCAAACACAGGCGTCCGCCGTTAATTCCGTCGTTACACACGTAGAAAGCTGAATTCGGTACAACGGATTTATGCACTGCAGATCTTACGATAAAATCTTATTCTCTCTTCCATTTATCGTGCATCAAAATTGTATCAAAATCCATGAGATACAAGGCTTAGTTTACAATATATATGCGAAGTAAGCTTGGAATAAGAAGTAAGCCGTAAGAATTGGCCAATCAATTATTATAAGAATACTCATCTATGATTTTACTCAATTCTTACGATTTACTTCTTACTCCAAACTTACTCCGCATATTGTAAACCAAGCTTAAGACGGAGCATTCAAGCGGCAGTGTTTCCATCGAAGATTAGTGAATATTCACTGATTATCGGTAGAACACTCTTTTTACTGATTCAATCAGTTACATTTTTACTGATTCACTTTAAGAGAGCATGGACGTCGCAGAGGGTGACCTCCAGTGTGAGGATTCGATGATCATCTACGAGTATAATTCGCGACTCAACTACGACTCACTTGGCGAGACCACGACGGCATTTTTCGACGGTGCCCGGCCGCGGCTCCGTCGAGGACTGAACTCGTCGCGGAAATTATAGCGGCTTCTGTCCCGTAATTAGTAATTGCCTGCTTCCGACGAATGAAATCCCGGCGCGAGACGCCTTGTTGTCCCCCGAGAGCGAGAGAATATTCTAAATTCCCGTTCATAAATTCACACGGGCGTGCAGAAGACGGCGATTAGCCCGAGGAAGCGAGACACATTCGATCCGAGAGGAAGCTACTCGGTCCAATTTCCTCTCTTTTCAGTGCGAATTTCTCCGGGCATAACCCGATCCCGGGGCGACAGACGCGCGCGCTGCAATTAATAGCTGCAATCTAGTTGCGCGCCGTAATTAATTGCCGTAATTTGACGCGGAGTCTCCGAAGTAATTTGCCTTAGCTGTCGTTCGGGCATCAAGAAGAAATTAGTCGCTTGAGCTGGAAGAAAGGAATTATTAAAATATTCAAGCACACCGCCGGTAGATTAGAATACCAACCGCCCGCAAAGGTGCACTTGGGTTAACGTGTCGGAAGATTCATTGTTTAGACAAAATTATACCGAGCAGGCTCCGTAATTTCCGCGGGTATCCATTTATTTCGTAATGCTCATTTGTATTTTGCCAAGCCACAATATTCGTTTCAATACATCCTTTGAGACTATTTGCAAACGATCAACCAGCCATGCAAGACTATCGCATTCGCTCGCGTTTTCCTATTATACTGTCAGCTGATCTCTTCAAATCGAGGCAAACTTCTTTGTAAGCCGTTCCCCATTCTAACAGTCTCGGCTGTCTCAAATTCTAATACAATGACTCGCTGAGATTAGTTGTCATTCATGAATAAAATCGTTAACCTTAGATTGCTCATGGTAGTTTTGATATACACTTGAAGTAGCAGTTTAATAAAGAATATTTGTAATCAGTAATACTTTATTTTTCTTCTGTGTAAAAAATAATTGATAACATTAAGACAAGTTACAAGCGAAAAACAACTAAGGGAGACAAAGGGACTCCATATTAGCAATAACGGACCGACTACTACTACTGCTAGAATATTGACAATCTAGAATTAACACATCAGAAGTAAAAATCTGCAATCTTCCTCACGCCATGAGAAGTCTCGACGTTATTAGTGGCATTTATTGAAAAATCGCGAAGGCAAAACATTTCATCTCACGCGTGCTATCTCTTTACGCAATATCAATTAACATAATCTATAATCTCACACGTATTCCGATGTCGTTTGCATTTTGAAATAATTCCCAAAGCTTCGCCGTGGATCAAGTCCGTCGCGGGAACGCGGCAGGAGGAAGCAGGTAATTATCCGCGAAAGAAGAAAAGACAATTGGAATACGACTCTCCTTCGGGAAAGCATGCGATGACCGAATAATAATATCTTCGCACAAGCAAGACCCTCGTGTTTCACCTCCCTCGTGTGTCACCGCCAACACAGCCCGATGTGAAGCCACGTGTTCTCTCCCCGCCTTTCTCTTTGCACTTTGCGTGTCGTGTCATCACTCGAGAACGATTCGTCCACGATTTCTTCATTCGATGACCTTAGCCAGACGAGATAATATATCTGACGTTTGGCACGCACACGACAGCACCACGACGTATGTGTGTTGCATTCTGTGAAACACCAGAAGGACTTTATCACGCGGCGGCATAACGAAGTCAAATCACATGATTCGTCCCATCAGTCGCTAATCTGCCCGATCTGTGCATCGGACACGTTAGATGAGTCATCCAATTATGCGATACTAGTCACCGAATCAGCGAGTCATAGGACGAATCGTCGAGCGCTACCGCGATCGTCGCCGAGGACGGTCCGACCGCGAGAAACGTCCACGAGGACGACGGACACGGTCCTAATCGTAGGGAACGAATGAACGAACGAACGACGCGCTCGCGATTAAGGGGAGACTCTGCTTTGGATATAGTCGAAAAACTAAACGAATCTTTTTCAAAGGAACTCTCTTAATGTGAATCAGTGAAACATCATTGAAAGCAGTAAATATACACTGATTTGCAGCTATGAGTACAGCACTGGGACTGCTCAGTGTTGTACTTATAACTGATATCAGTGACTATCCATTGATTCACTTTAAGAGAGAATGTACAAAGATATCAGTATAGAGTTTTGAACATACTATTTATTTTAAATATAAACAAATTATTTAAAAAGAAATTAATATTCCATTCAGATTTTTGTGCTGGACGTGTCTAATTGATGAGTAATATTGCAATTCGTGTGATGAATAGATGAGGGCAGAAAATTTAGGAATTTTACCCAGATAGTACAGAGAATTAAAAAAGAACTCGAAAATAATTCAGTCGCATGTCACCAATTCTGAGTTTATTTTCAGATGCAAAAAGAATTCTTCAGAGTTTAGTTCAGTGAAAAGAATTCTTTTTGCATCTAAAAATAAACTTAGAATTGATGACATACGACTGAATTCTTTTTGAATTCTCTGTGCTATCTAAGTATTGAATTTGCTGGAAAATATTTGGAAGCCTTTGTTATATGTGAGAAGACAAAAAAATTTCACAAAATGGCAACACTTCAAAGTTGCGATTCATCTTTCTTCTCTTTTTCTTTTTTATTTAGTGTGGCCCGAGAAGAATACAAATTTTGAACATTTGCCACAGAAAATTCTTGGACTTGTACTTCAATAAATTTAATACAGCTCTTAAATTTTCTTGCTCCATTCATTTCATGTTATTACGCAAGATGTAGTATTGTTTGCCAGTTATAAGCCGGCGACACAGCACTCAGTACAAAAAACCTGGGCAGAATTTCAATTTCTTAAAAATAATCTTTTTATATTTAAAGCAATGTGATAAATATTACGAAGCAAATACGTAAACAAAGGATAGTAGAACATTATAGATCGGAACGACGCGTACATTATTTTATAAAATTACGACGATATAAACTTACAGTCGTGTTATATTACCTGAAAAGTCCGAAATTACTTATTTCACAACCGAATACCACGAAAAATATTTTACATACCGGATTCTATATACAACGACTCGTGTGATGAATAGATGAGGGCAGAAAATTTAGGAATTGTACCCAGATAGTACAGAGAATTAAAAAAGAACTCGAAAATAATTCAGTCGCATGTCACCAATTCTGAGTTTATTTTCAGATGCAAAAAGAATTCTTCAGAGTTTAGTTCAGTGAAAAGAATTCTTTTTGCATCTAAAAATAAACTCAGAATTGGTGACATACGACTAAATTCTTTTTGAATTCTTTGTGCTATCTAAGTATTGAAGTTATTTCGGATTTTTTCAGATCAAAGAAAACGACTATATTTTCGTCGTTATAATCGTATGAAACAAATGTATACAATGGACGATAAAACATCATGAATCGAAAGGGCGCGTACATAATTTTATCCTGAGAGAAAAGACGATCAATTTCGCCGAAAATTATAGTTATTTTCGGCACCAACTATATATTTATGATCAAAACCTCATACTGATAATTTTATTCATTTCTCTGAAAAGAATTCGCAAGGTTTTCCTCGTATTTTTCGACTGTCTAAAGCAGAAGCTCCCCTTAAACAAAGGAGAGGAAGGAAGGTTCGAAAGTATAACGAAGAACGTTGCGGTTGGAATGCGTGGAATGAGCTGCTTTGGATGTGTAGCCGATAAGACGTTTTAGCACCTCTAACTAAACCCCCTCCTCCCCCGAAACTCGTCCCCTACACTCCACCCTTGGCCCTTGTTCCCCTTTTTCGGGGGAATATTACGATATGTATCCAACCTCTCACGTCACTCGCCCCCGTCTAGCCACAAGTATAATTACCACCACTACCACCGTCACCATACATGATCAACCATCATCACCGTCATCGTCACGGTCACTACGAATCACCATATCATCGACTTACCGTTACTGATACAACAACTACTACTACTACTGATACTACCACAAGCCACAACACGTTTCAAGTCTCCGACCATCGCGCAGTACCTCGAAATTAGGAGCCGGCGATACGCACGTGACCTTTTCACCCTCACTAGGTCCCGCCACGGAGGACACGTTAATTACACGGTAGTCGCTAATTGGAGTCGGTCCAGTTGCGGGGGAGGAACAATCGGAGGCTAATTCGGGCGTATCGAAGCGAATCGAATTTCTCCCGTCTCTCGGGCGTATATTTGAGAAATTATTTTCAATAATTATACATGCAACAATAAGATATATTAAGTTCTCTAATGTGTGGAACCGTGTCTTTAGACGTCCCTCTAGTCGTCTGTCGAGAACTGAACGCGATCCATATATCGGCGGTCGAGGGAAACATCGTTTTTACGATCTGCCCCGCAATTTTCTCGCACAGGGTTTATAGCCAATATGCAAGTACTCGAATACCTGTCGCCCGTCTGACAGGAGACGCCGCACGTGTGGTACATGCACGTATACGTTCGCCTGGAAGAGTCACTGTACGCGTCGAAACGCCTTTGTGTCTCACGATAATTCAAACTGATTATTCTATTTGCATCGATGGGGATTTGGGAAATATTCCTACTAAATCTAAACATTAGGTTATGTAACGAGTAATTTCAGATCTTTCAGATAAAATGTAAAGATATTTTTGTCGTTATAATTCTATGAGGTAAATACGCGTGAAAAACAGTAGAAGATTGCAGATTAAAACGTTATAGAGATACAATCGTGTCATCTTACTTGAAAAGCCTGAAATTAGTTATCATCCAATCCAATCCTACAAGAAATGTTTTATAGAGCGTGTTGAAAACAAGAGTTCAAGGTTTATAGCGTAGATACTCATCGTGCGAAATGTTTAATAAATATAGGTCGTAAAATTAACCCTTTCAGAGTTACAATCTATATCAGAGCACAAATGTTTTACGATTCATGCAAGTTATTTGTATGCTTTCATTGATCACACACGATGAATAAACGAGCGAGTATTAACTATATTATTACTTTGATATTTACGAAAGATGTTTTTACGTGTCTTTTTTTTAGAGATTTTTTACGTAAAAATCATAATTATTACGTAATTATGATTAATAACGATTATTAATAACGATATTATTACATAAAAATCATAATTCTTTTTATATAATTATATATGAAGAATTTTTCATTGGATCTTTTACTGCATGTCATTATAATCGTAAGCCAACCAAACACTTTTTTCTCAATGCATAAAATTGGAAGAATACAAAAATATAATACAAAAATATCGTTTCACTTGAGAAGTTCGAAATTACTTATTACACAAGCCAATACCGCGAAAAATATTTTTGGAATCGCCAGTATCGTTTCCAAGTCGACATAAATTCCTTATGTCGATCTGCCCCCGACTGCACACGGGATATATCTGTTTCCGTGATAATAGCCAGGCGAAAAGAACGGAAATAATCCGCTTGTGATGCAAATGGGTTAACACAAAACAGACTTTACCGTCTCGTTTGTTATTTATGTTCCTATTTTTACGAGGCATCACCGCGAGGAACCGTCGCGTGCTCGCAGGTTAAAATGCGCGAACATTTCTTCCCCAACGTTCCTTCCGCAGGATAACGAAGTGAATACGCCGCGAATTACGTGCGCCCGCACGCCTAGAATTAAATGTCGAATTAGACAAGAGCAATAGGGACAGTGCAATAGGGACAAATGAAAATTTACTGTTCAAAAATCGCTACTGACCATAATTCTTAACCGATCGAGACGAATCTTTTTTGGAATTAATTATGGAATCATAAATTTCAAAGAAAACTGTGGAGCTCGACTTTTAAAAAAGGGTCCCTGAAATATGCAGTATTAATAACAATCTGCAAATAATTGTTAGTCAAAAGTTGAATTAGAAGAAAAATATTTTTAAAGTTACTTTTGCGCTAACTCTCTTACATGATGGTTTTTAGGGTTGCTAAATATGAATCTGATGTTAGAATGAAGATTTGACTATCGACAGCTGTCAATCTCGCTGTCAACTTACAAAATGCATTTTTTTATAGCTATAAAAAATGCATTTTTTTATAGCGGGAACAAGATCACATTAGGGATATTGGAGGTTGCTGAATATAAATTCCATGCGCGTTTTGACTACAAATGAGTCTAATTCAATTAATTCCTCTGGCCCTTCTGGCGCGCGCATCGAGAATGCATGCTCATCGTCTTCATCGCAGCCTAAAATTCCCGTCGACGTCGTACAGTGGCTCTCCTAGCGGCACACATGTTAATTCGTGCAAGTCAACGCTAATATGTCGAACGTGCACGAGAACGCTGCGACAGGAAAGCGATTCGGAGGTAGCCGGGGGGTGGATCAAGTCCGGTCGCTCGCACACTGGCACGAGCTGGCACATTGTTCATATGGATTAATATAAATTGTTAAATGACGAATTAAGTAATAACGGGAAATTGCAGCCTCAAATGCTTCCGCAGAGGCCAATTACCAGTTCACAAACGATAAACCCTGTCGAAAGGATTAGCGACTAATTAGCAATCAATATAATCCTGAAGGGTCGGTCGGCTAGTGTGTTTATTGATTGTCGCACAGTTAGACACATCTAATGCTATTGCCCACAATGCAAATAATATAAGCACATTCTATGATAATTGTATTCTCGGATTAACAATCGACACTTTTCGACGCTTTTGCATCAGAAATCCGTCTTCTAGAGGAGTTCTAGCGAGCATCCTAGTCAAATTTAACCCTTAAGTAGGCGTGTGACTCTTTTTGACGTCAATTCAACCAATTCAATTTTTTCTATTTATTAAAAAAAAAGAATATAAATCGATATTTATAGTTCTTAAGAACCGAATATGGTTCATAAGAATAAAAAATTTCATTTCTTTCAACCAAAACGCAAGTAGTTGCGTCATTGTCACGTTAATTCTTCAACCAATTTTTTGTATTGGTGTGTTATTTACCAAAAGATAGGGCATAAATTATAAGCAATCAGCTTAAGCTATCCGGAAATTATCACAAAATGTCAAGGAGATGAAATCAGGGGAAAGTAGTAAGATGTCCAGGTTTCATATAGCCTGTATTTTCTGCAGGATCTTAAAGAATAATTATGCCGGTCCTAGGAGTTAATAGGGAACATACAGACGTTCTATTTTATACATATGGATGTGCCAACTTATACGTGTGACCGATTAGACATGATCTTCCTCGCTCGGGAGAGATTCGCTGCCGAGAATACGTCTCGGAGAGCGCAATGCTCGAGCGATCACTTCACGACGATCCACGATATGGAGTCGGCGGGTCCTCCGGAGAATTTTCTCATCGTCGCACTCTCGTGCTCGCGAAACTCTCGGGCGCACATCGCCGTTAGAGCTGTCACCTGTCACAACGTCGCGCGACAAAAATTCGCGAAAACGCAAAGTAAGTCCCGAGGAGAAAAAAAGATGGGGAAGACAGAAAAGAAAGAAAGAAAGAAAGAAAGATCGTATCGTGTGCACACGCGAGGGTGAGCGAAAAGAATGGTCATCCGAAGAGCATTAGTAACCTCGGGCGGAGAGAGACGACGTATTCGTAATCCAAACTGCATTCGACCGAGTTTTGACGATCAGGGGATCAGGACGGAGCGGACACGCCACGAAAGAATCGACGTCGGGCTGTGCGAGATTTTCGACTCTCGTCCCGTAAGAGAACAACTTTCATATATATCTATATATATTACACACTTATACTTCTCTTTCCACTCGATATTATATACATAACTCTATATATCTATATTATATTCCTTACATACGATATTTGAGCCACATCATGTCGCTATATATATATATATATACACACACTGTACACAAAACCGTCCCTCTCCACGTGTATATCTTATACATATGGAATGTTTCGACTCTTTATATGTATATACATATGCACCATGTCTCATTATACATACGTACACACACGACGAGCGCATCCTCCGCGTATGTATGTATGTGTAAGTATTTATACGCCCACCTAAGCACACCTCACATTCACATACACACACGCGTACACATGTACAACCATACAGACATACGGACGCACGCACACAACACACACGCACACACACACACATACATAAACATATACACAAACATGTCCACCCGAATACTTACACATTTTATATTTGTTCTGCCATCATCTCGGCTGTGATTCACTGAATGTAACGCCCAGTTTTATATATATACTCTCTCTTCTCGTTCTTGTACGCCTCAGACACGTTCTTGCCCATCACGACTTACTACCGCTATCATCGCCAACCGTCGTTATCGATGCACGAGCAGCGGGGCGGTCCGAAAGTCGTCAAGTCGAGTCAAGACGAGCCGATCCCAGGCCCAAGGGAGGACTTTGCGACTGTTTGGCACCGACCTGATGCGAGACGCGATAATACGACGTCGTTCTCCTCGCGTAATCTTACTGTCTTATCCTCTCTACCATAACACCATTCGTATATCGCCGATGGGAGCGCCGGCAGGCCGACGTGCTCGTGGTTTTACGCACGGTCTAACGGCTTAATGACGATACAGTCCAATTAAAACGGCTCTGATGATCAGCGATTTCGTTCTTGGATGCATATATTTCGTATTTATTCTTTTCAGAATTGGGTAAGTTAATCTCCTCTTTCCTAACTCTTTCTTAACTAAGTTTCAAACACTAATGGCATATAAAATTAACTTGGTTAAGTTAAAAGTTACATGAATAAAAATTGACTTAATAGAAAATTAAGTTACAATTAAATTAAATTAAATTATTGAAAAGTTAAAGTTAATTGTCCAAACTGTTCAACTTAACACTATTATCTACTTGATTAATTATTACCCAACCCAGCGAATCCTTTCATTCGCTGTATTATTGGGTTCCGTTTTTAATTTTGATCACTTCTATAATATTTCTATCAGATTTCCTAAGGCATTTTTTTTATGTAACATTTATTATCTTCTTATGTTATTGATAATTATGGATAATTTTGATTATATTATTTTATTATATCAGAGGCAAAGAGAAAGAAAGACGCAAACGTATAGAGAAGATCCCTGAAATCATAAGAGAATCATAAGAGATCGTTTCTGCCGTTGCATTGCACTGCTCGCAGCGATTTATTACGTAGAGATGCATCGGCCTGCTCGCGCTCCCACGTCACACACGAACTCATCAAGATGCGTATCCGCGTAACGCACGAGCGATAAATAGCGGGGGAGTCCGGCACCGCGGTCGACGGTCCCGTCGGCAGCCGATAAAACTCAAATCCTCTTTCACTGACGACTGCGGAACGCCGATACGCATCCGCACGTGCATCTAAACGAGATCTTGTCCATGCGACGTGGCCGCGTTTCGAGGGCGATCAATTGACGAAATCGCGTATCGCGCTGCTCCGCCGATCCTGACGACGACGGGTCCTCGTGCGAACGCACTTCCCCGTCGCGGCGGGTCTCGGTTTCGCGAGACGGAGAACGCGCGACAGGTTCTCCGGTGAGAAGCAAAAGGGAAAAAGAGAGAATAAAGCTGAAAAAGAAAGAACGAAAGAAAATGTCGGAGGAGCGCGTTAACGAAACGGCGAGTAATTGTAAAGAAATTGCAGCGCGCGATGAGAGAAATCGTCGAAACGCCGCGCGCAGAAAAATGGACAATGATGTCGGCCGTACGTCGCGGTGGGCGAAAGAACTGCGGCGGCGCCCGGCGTCCGGAAGAGGATCACCGTGGAAAACGTAAAATAGAAAGTTTAATAACGAAAAGCAATTACGAAATCAAGCAAGTGCATTGCCAAGGATTGTTAGAGCGTGACCTTGCGACCGTGAGATCGGCAGACAGAGAGAAAGATCTTTGTAGCATGGCGTCGCGGAGAGAGATCGCCGGCGATCGGTGTGGCGGCAATCGTATCTCAGAGTAGAAATGAGAGAAGGAACGAATCGGGAGCTCGGAGACGGAGATCTGATCCCGAGAGAAAGAGAGAGAGAGGGAGAGAGAAAGAGAAAGGGAGGGAGAGAGAGAGAGAGCACGGGTGGGGAAGATTCTCGCGGTTTTGTTGACGAGAATCTATTGACCTTCTTGATCGCATCCTTTTTTTTCGGGAGTGACGAGAACACCTTTGTATCGCAATGTCGGAGAGAGGAGAATGAAGAAGATCGTTTTGTGGAAGAAGGAAGCTCGGCGGTACGTCGCTTTTCTTTCGTCAACCGGGACGCAGCCGGTGCCACTTCCGCTTCCTCGAGACTGTCCCGTGAAAACGGAGATTGAAGGATCAGAAAATCGCATAGTCGCGCCTGCCATCCGTTGTCGGAGCATAACGAAGAGGGATGTTCCTTCGCGCGTTATTCATTTATTTGCGAGAAATAAGAGGATTGAGGAGATGCCATACTTGGAAATTGTACCGACAAGATATAGACTTTCCTCTGCGACGTTTACGTCGCATTGACTGCACGGATTATACGAACGCTTTTACACAATGAAACCACGTGCAAAAATTGACTCAAGTATCGATATGTGACGAGAACATGGAAACATTTCAAAATTGACATCTCGAGCTGTCAATTAGCGAAAATTTTTGCCTGATACAAAAGTTCTGCAGCCTGTATATGCTAAATGTGTGCTTACTCCACTCAGAAAAGCTTCAAGTAACATCACTGTGCCTTTACAATTTGATATAAAAGCTTAATCCCAGCACCTTAAAATGGGTTAGATTTATCTAGAACTACTTTCCAAATCTTACGTTCTTAAAAACATGTTTCATTTTTTTATTATAAGTTCTTTCAACTTTATCACTCAAATTCCTCGAAAATTATATTCCTCGATAATTCTTACACTGATTACAAAAAAAAAATGTTACATTTCGATAATTGTTCCGAAAATTATGCAAAATAGATGAATTGGGTAAAATTTCATCCATGTTCACGAAACTTTTAAATACTTAGGACTCAAAAGTCAAAAATATACGAAAAGTTTGCAGGAAGATTTCTATATATACGTGGTTATGTCTTCCGCTAAATAGAGTGAAACAAAATAAAGCAGCACACATTTATATAAAATCACAAATTACAAAAGATACAAAAATTTAGCATGATTGTGTTACTGACATAATGTTTTGACGATCGCCTATACGTTATCAGCAATTTGCTCTTAAATGTATGCCATATTTAGAAATTTTACAGACAAAATACTAATTTTTTTCTGTAATGTACGTCTTATTCATTGCACAAAATTACAAGTACTTTCACACAATGAGAAAATACGTAGAAAAATTAATTGGAGTATTACTTAATATATATCAAAAAAGAGAAAAAATGTCAAAATTGACATCTCTCTCTTTAGTTGTTAATTAGCGAAAAGATTTGCCTAATACAAAAATCCTGCAGTTTGTAGGGGAGACCAGGTTTAGTTGTCACTTTTCACATACTAATTAAAAAAAGGATGTATGCAATACTTTTAATATTTTATACATTTTCATATAGGTGCAATCTTTAGGTAAAAGAAAAAAATGTTATCTTTATATACATATATTTTTTTATACATGAAAAGGTGATAAAATTGTAAACAAAGTTATACAAATGTGACTATCTACTTCATGCTCCGCGCGCGCGGATTGGTTGTCACATGTATTTTATATAAAGGAAACAAGACAAGCTATTTTCGATTTAAGATTTTAAATGTTTTACTAAAGTTAGTGATATCTTATAATCAAGTACTTTAAACGCAATTAAGAAAATAATTAAGAAGATAATTCTCATAAAGTTTGTAATGATAACTTTAAGCTACAGAGAACCTTATGTAGACTCATTGTTGTGATATAGATTATATAATACATTGTTATGTATGCTTTCATGCTCTTGCGTAAGTTACGTCACAGTTATGTAAAAGACTTACAACGCGTGACAACTAATTCCATTTAATTTGAGTCAACTTAACCCTAACGCTCATTTGAGGAATAAGAGAGATTAGACTTATAAATAATGTCGCAGTAATCGTTAACTAAATGCAGAAAAAATTAGTTAACTTATATATAACATTTCTTCCAACTGAAGAGAGATTATGACCAAAAATTCCAAAGCCAATAAAAATCAATAAAAATAGAGATAAAATATATTTACTCAACGCGATCAATTTAAAAAAAAAAATGTTTGTGGATATTACATACAATGTTTCCGTTATAAGTCATTTCGTACCCAACGAATATGATACAAGCAACCTATACTATAGAGAAAAATATACTATTTATGACGTGAGATATAAACATTGTGACAATTAACCCGTGTGACTTCTAGATCCGGTCTCTGTTACATGTATATTTACTCCACTTCATTCAGGAAAATTCCAAAGAATATTGCTGAAGAGTTTACAGAAATCTTTCTATATATGAATAATTGTGTTTTTAGCTAAATATAGTGAAACAAAGTAACACATATTTATATAAAGTTTTTTATTATATAAAAATTATTTGTGCAAGAATTGTGAAAAGAGAATACCATGATTGTGTTAGCTGACATGACGTTTTAACGATCGTCTTTACGTTATCGACATTTTTGGAGTTCATCTTCCACTGTGGCATCCCCTTGAAGAAATTCTCGACACTTTGCAGTGTGAAATACGACGCGAGATGCATAGAGCAGCCTTCGGTTTTTATTACGTAACCTCACTTCTCGTTCTAAATATACGGTCCACGATTGTGGTATCCTTTTAACAAATTTCTCTCTTTGGCGAAAATAACAATACTACAAGCGCCGCTACTGTCAACGTTTCCTTTACGCGATCAATTCCCGAACAATTTTGCCTGGTTTTTTATGATATACGAACCTTTCGATACGACAGCAGTGGATGGCATCGCGGTCAGCGACGAAACTGTCTCAATATAAACCACAAAAAGATTCAAGTGACGACAAGCGCACACGGACAGTCTCATGCGTTAGCGAAGCCGCACTCAACCACCGTAGTATACATCTCTAAACCGCACCATCGCATACTTCACACCTTCAAGAATAAAAAAAAAATTATATATCAAAGAGATCAGACAACATTCTCAGCTACATCATCCAAAAAAAAAAAAGTCAACCGATACATAAAAACAGACAAGTAAAAAAAAAATATATATATATATAGATCGCGAGAGCGCGCTATAGAGAGACACGAGAGAGAGGACGGCGGCGCGAGAGTCGACGACCTGTAACCGTCTTTCCCCCTTGTTGCTTCTGTTGTAAAGGAGCTCAAAGCGACGAACGAGAGCCTGAAGAGTCTGCAGACGCAGCTGGAGCTCGCGTACGCCTCGACCGCGTCCTCGGGACAGCCGGTGTCGGGCGGCGGATTGGCAGGTGCAGTCGGCGTCATCGGACTAGGAGGTAGCGTATCGGGTGCAGGTGCAGGCGGCGGCGGTACCGTCCTCGGAGGTAGCGTGGCGGTTCCAGGCGGCGTGCCCGGTAGCACCACCCTGACCGCCATTATGGAGACGAAAGACGCGCGCATACAGACCCTGGAGAAGGAAGTGGGGCTGCTCGAGGCCGAGCTGCAGCGTATTAAGGAGTGCGGCGGTAGGCTGAGGGAGCAATTGCTCAAGGCCACCGCTGTGCCGAGCGTGCAGCAGCAGCAACAGCAGCAGCAGCAGCAGCAACCGCCGCAGCAACAGCAACAACTGGGTATCGAGCCGCATTTGCGGCCGGCGTACACGCCGTCGACCGGCCTGGGTGGTCAGCAACAGCCCGGCACGTTGGCCCTGGCCAGGGGACCGTCCATGATGACCTCGCTGGTACCGTACAGTGGCCACACGTCGTCCGCGGCACTAACCAGTTCGTTGCTTGCCGGTTCGACAGGTGCGACCACGGGCGGCGGGCTGGGTGGCGTCGTCGGTGGCGGTTCCTCGTGCCTGGCCGGCATCTCGTCGGGCGCCACCACAGGCGTGGTCAACCCCTATACCGATCGCTACGCCACCGACCATCACCCCCATCAGCTCCACCATCACCAGCACCACCACCACCACCACCTGCACCAGCAGCATCAGCATCAGCTGCAGCTGCAGCAGCAGCAGCAGCAAATGCAGCAACACTTGAAACAAATTGAGCCGGCGGCGGCGGGCGCCCTGGCGCTGCACGCTCACACCTTCAACAAGCACGACCTGAACTTCAAACGGCAAGTAAGTTTCTTCATCAACAACGTGCGCATCGAAAAGAACGACGCCATCTAGGGGACACCTGGGACGACGTGGGAGGGCGGGAGTTTCTCCGATCAGGTACATGAGGATCGCGTCTTCGTCGTCTTTGTCGTCGGCTTCGTCGTCTTTGTCGTCGTCGTCGTTATCATCGTCGTCGTCGTCGTCGTCGTCGTCGTCGTCGTCGTCGTCGTCGTCTCGGTTACTTCGTCTTCGACTTTGTCGTCATCGTCGTCATCGCGTTCGTCGTCGTCGTCGTGTTGGTCGTCGTCGTCGTAGTCTTTGTCGACTAGTTTCGAAAGAGCCATCGTGGTCGGAGAATCGCGTCAATGAGGTCGATTCGAAAAAGAGAAAGAGAGAGAGTGAGAGAGAGTGGCGGAAAAATCCGTTGTTTTCGTCGAAGGTGGCCATTCGAAAGGAAAAGAAAAGAGAGAGAAGGAGAGAAAGAGCAAACGAAAAGAGACAGAACGTCTTCGGAGAAGAGGCTGGACCGCCATGAAGAGGCGTGAGAGATATCGCCAAAAGGGCGTAGTAGGACGTAGATGTCAGTTGAAAGACGAAGACGCCGAAGAGCTAGCACCGATACCAGCTAGGAGCCGATGGAGGCTCGCCGATCGCGACACTTCCGCGCGAAGATCTTTCGATTTCCCTCGTCTTCTCTTCGAAGCGGCACGTATCACGCACGTGGGAGTCCGTGAGAACTAAAACGACGCCGGTCGACGAGGATGATCGATTTCGGGGCTCGCGCCACGACATCCCTGATCCCACATCAGAGCTGCGTTTCGTGAAGCTCGAAACCTCCACGATCGGACGACGAGCAGAGAATCCGAGTTTCTGTCCGATCTCCCCGTGTCCTTTCGAAACTTTAGTTTAGACGAATCGCGACGCCATTGTCGGCGCAAGACGGGACGGCAAGACGATTAAATTCGCGGTGAATGGACCATTCGATCTTCGTGTGGATTGACATATCTTCCTTTTATACGCATTTATATATCCGATCGACGAAATTGTCCATTTGAATCCACGTACGCTTGACGAAAGAAAAGAAAAGAAAAGAAAAAGAAAGAAATATTAGTTGCAAATTTCCCGAATCGATTTTACGAAACGGAGCTCTGTTGGTAACTCGTCAGCAATCGGAATTACTTGGGAGGAGAGAAAGTGTTCGGCATATTAGATACTTGTTCCCCGTCTTCCTGTTTCGTGCGAGTCGCCGTGAGATTAAGAAAGCAAACAAAATTTTATTTCGAAGAAAGGTACAGAGAGAAGTGCGCCGACGATCGGGAAACGATGCAGGGCGATGTGATAAGCAAATTCGTCTGTGAAATTAGCACGATAAGAGAAGATGTTACGCCAATTTTTTAGAACGGCTGGGCTCGGAGCACGAGGCGCCGAATGCTCGAACGAACAAGAGGAGTATAAAACGGTGACGAGCGTTTAGCCGTATAAATAGGATCTTTTAGCCGTAAATTGTAGGTCGTTTAGGTAGACTCTGTCGCACGAACGTTCCCCCTCCCGCTCCAAACAAACAAAAGTAGTGTCATCCCCCTCCTCCACATCCGATATGTCGCATCTCGATGTTGTACGAGAGCTCGAGAAAGACGCTGCTAATTCAAACGAACACTCGAACTTCGGGCTCGAACTTTGCAAATTGCGTTCCCCCGCTCGCAAGCACGAGCAACTTGTTATCTAGGTGAGCGTGAAAATGCTTCGTCGCGTGCGATCGGCCTACGTAACCGAGCACCGAGCGCAGTTTATCCCCCGATCTCGCGTTATCTTCCGTCGCCGAACCACCCCCGTCTTCCTGCCTGCTTAGAGGAGCCCCTTAGGATAGCGCGTACTATAGAGAGAAAGAGAGAGAGTAACGTAAATATCGTCGTATATATATATATATATATATATATATATATATATATATATATGTATGTATGTATATATATATATCTTGTATTCTCTGTAGAGTCTGTTGACTACCCCCTGCGCGTGAGGGAGGAGAGGAGCGTCGTTTTACTTCTCACCGGCTGCCGGGAACGCGCGCAACACGTTTTAGCGTACCTGTTTTTCCTTTACCTCTCGAAATCCCCTCCTCGTCGGCGACATCCTGAAACGTGCAGAGTTCTCTATTTTTTGACTCGATTGTACTTAGACGTCGTAGGTTTACAGGGTGAGTCCTGGACGTCGTGAACGGCGGTGTGTGAGCGTGTGGGTGTCCCGTGAAAGGGCTCGCGTGCGAGGACACGAGCGCACGCGCGCACGAAACATGGTTCTCAGCGGCAAGGAAGCGATTCTGATTTCTAATGTGATTAATATAACGTGTCTCTCGATAATTTTGATAATATATACATGGCTCTCCCATATCAACCGCCATACATTGAAATGACAGTGGAAGTCAAGCCGAGATGAAAAATCCTTCACCATTTTTTAATATGAGCAATATATAGTTAACGAGTTGTTAATTAATGAAATTTGGTGCCTTAAAATCAACGAAGCGCAGTGGCGGAGTAGCTTCGCTACTTAGTTAGTGAGGGAGAGGAGTTTGCAAATCAAAATATCGAAACTAGAGTCCTAAAATAAGAAGAGCGAAATTGATGTCCGAATCCCTGATTGCTTCACCTGGTACTATACTGTGATCGCAGAAAGCTTATTCAAGGATTTGAGAGCGGCAGAACCGAGTGTGTTTTGTTTATGTTCCTAAAGATAATTATTGTAGATCCTCGGGTAATGTTTTCATCTTTTTGGTGTATTTAGCCTCTGCTCACATATACACATGCGCCCGTTATAAGATCATTCCGGGTAGAGTATTGGACAACGGAAGACATTGAATAAACTCTTCTCGTACCGATCGCAAAATTTGTGTCGCGCAATTTCATGCGCGTGAGTGAGTGTTCAGTGTTCCGAGAGTCATCTTGATGGATAGCTTTTCGAAGAAATATTCCGAGCATAGCTATTGATCTCGAGGGTTGAATGTCGGGACGCAGACTATGTCGAACGAATGTTTTAATATATTGGTTGGAAAAGATGGTTCGTGTAATACCGGGGTGCTCAACTAAGGCGAAGGCGAGCTTCTCATACAATTCCCTAAAGATCCGGAGTGAAGATGTAGATGGATTGAGTGAGGAGACAAGACCAGAGAATTGGACTATTGGAGAATGAAGATCAACAGCATAAGATAAGGTATCATTATTTGTTTAATAGTTAATGGTACCTTTTTTAATAAACAGCTGTTGGTCTTCATCCTTAAACGAACCATCTTTTACAGCCAATATACTAAAACATTTGTTCAACATAGCTTGCGTTCCGACATTCAATCTTCGAGATTAACAGTTGCTTGCGGTATGAATCAACCAATCAGGGATTTGGACGCCCGATTCTGCTTCTCTTATTTTAAGAGACTCTAATCAGTGTCTTTTTAAAGTGTGCGATATTATTTGTGCTATGCCAATTAAGGCATGCTAAATATCAAATTTAATTAATCAAGAGCTCATTAATTATTGCTCGTATTAAGCAAAGGACTTTTCGTCTCGGTTTGACTTCTACTATATGCTGTTTTAATATTTAGCGATTGGTGTGGGACACTCCGTGTATATGTATATATAATTTTAGAAGTCATCGGGAGTCGGCTCGAAGGCGTGAGACGTCCCCGGCTCTCGAGAACTAATTTAATAAGTGCATAAGTGCACTACAAGTCGTAAGAATTCACCGGATCTCGCGTATCACACATCGAGTCACGATTCGAAAACTTCGGAGGGATTCAACGTGCCCGTCGATAAAACTCACTTACGAGCGCGGGCGTTTTACGGCGATGTCGTAATTCCTAAAGCCATCCCCGCGCGAGCAACTCCTAAACGTCGGCAATTCGCGGAAAGTTCCAATAGCTTCGCCGAAGAAACAGCCGCAATTCCACGAAGGTGTGGGCGTGCGCTTGGAAGTCTCCACTTCCGCTCGCGAGCACGCGATCGTTCGCAGCGCGAGAAATTCCCCGATCGTAACCTGCACACACCGGACGTTCACACGTCGCTCGAAGAATCCCTCTGTGTATAGCGCCACGGCGCGATAAGCTTTCGGGCGCGAGATCTCTGATCTTCTGCTACCTTCCGACAATAGTCCTCTAGAGGGCGAGAGGAAGGCGATCGCTCCCGCGATGCGATTCGCGAATGAACAAGCGATATCGTACGGACATCCGATCCAAGGGAGTCTTGGATGTCGAGACGTCATTGATATCCCCGGATCTTTAGGGTCTTCGCGAATTATTATTGATAAACTGAGTGACAAACGAATTGTCCACATGATCATTTCTGTGCGTCCAGAAATCCGGACGTCGACATTCGATCTGAAGAAGTCTTAGATGCCAGACTTTACAGACCTTCAAATTTCGAGAACCTCTGGAAAATTGTTATTGATAAATTGAGCGACAAACGATTTGTCTACAGTAATTTCTACGTAGAATGTGTCCGGAAATCCGTACGTTGGGTCATCCAATCCGAAGATGTCTGAATGTCAGACGTCGCAGACATCCGAGTTTTGAGAGTCTCTGGGAAGTTATTATTGATAAATTGACAACAATTTGTCTATAGTAATCTCTGTGTATGGAAATGCGACTTAAGATCCGGACGTTCAAGACATCCAATTTCAAGAAATTTTGAATGTCAGACGTCGCAAATATCCGAATTTTGAGTCTGGAGTGTCAGACATTCGAATTTCATAACCTCTGGGAAATTATTATGAATAAATTGATCGACAAACGATTTGTTTATAATGATATTTACGCGTACGAATGCGTCCGGAAATCTGGATGTCGGAGACATTTGAACGTAGCGAACGTCCAAGCGCGTTCGCTGGATGAGACAGATCGCGGAATATCCGATGAACGTAACGAACACGTTGGATGGCTCGTGAACAACCGAATGAAATCGCACGCTCTCGATATCCAGGAACATGCGAACGGATGTTTGTGCTTGTACGGATCGTCGCAGAGGCGCCAAAGCAAG